CAGCTTGCAAAAACAACTGAACAGGTTAAACTGATGTAATGGCACTATTTCTGCACTGATCCTAAAATGCATGAGTTCAGTAACAGCACAGTAGGCATCACAGAAGACCAGCTACAAGAGAAGTTTAAGATCAGATATATGTAATTTTGATTGTTAGCATTTTCTCTGTGCTTTGACAGCCACTTAAATGTCAGAATGCTCTCCCACAACATCACTACATAGGGCCCAATGCCTCTCGAGTCCATTTGCAGTGGTTGGCTCATCTTTATTTAAAATTCTCCTAACAGGAACAGGGAGCAGCAGTGTGTCTGTACTGTGCACTTCACAAGCACAACATGCAGCCCTGATTTTTCCAGTACTAGGAATCAGTTTTCTCTAAGTGTAAGGTAACTGTATCTGTTAAAATTCGTGCTATTGGTCTTTACTGAAGAGAAGCTTCCCTAACTTTGGGCATGTCTTGGCTGTAGACTTTGATCCCTACATAAATGTTCCTAACACCAACTTCTGCTTAAAAGAAATGCTTTCACAGAATCGACTGAGAAGGTAAGAACACTGAAAACTAGCTTGGGAGGCAACTGCTGAGAACCTGAGAGGTCTTGCCCTCCAGGTCTTGAGAGAGGTGTCAGGAACCTTCCTAACAGCAAAAGGCTTTCCAACATTAGATTCAAAATCAAAGACAACAAAAACTGCTTTAAAAGTTACTGGCCTTATTGGCACTGGAAACTGCTGAGAAACAAAAAGGAGACCAGAGACAAAACTTTGGGAGTCAGTACCCAGCTAGCTAGTGAATCACCCACTTTATTGTGTGTTTAGATATTTATCACAAATAATGAATAAACACGCACACTGATGAGGAACCAATTGCTGTGCGGAGTACCTAAAGCATCAGCTTTTAAGCACCTACCTTGGTGTAGTAGCAGTACCTCCAGAACAATTCCCATTTCTGGCAGGTACTTTTAACTACTGCCTGTACTGAAGTTACAAACCACTTGCTGCTTTTTAATGATTATCAGTGTGCTCTCCCTCTAGCTTAAGTGAAACAAAAATTAAAGGTTCAGTTCCCATTTTATCTGATAGAACTGGACAATACAAAAAAAGCCCGTGTTCCATACCCAAAGAGTGTGGGCACCTCCAACCCCAGAACAGAATTCACCCTCAAAACAGGCAACTCACAAAGAGCAAAACCTAAAAGCCTCACAGGGAGGCCAGCACAAAAGTGTTATATATATTGCCTGCCTATCCAAACTCCCAGCCTTTTCTAGACACAATGTTCCCAAAACACAGTCACAGCAGACAACTCCAACCACGTAATCTGGAAGTATCTAAGTGTTCCTTGAAAGGACCAAGCCTCTACCCCCACACTTCATTCCTCTAGAAGACGATGTCACCCTTTATGAGTCAGAACATTAGATCACTTGCATAGAAAGAAAGAAAGAAATATTTTAGGGCTTTCTCAGCTTGAACAGATTCAATTAAAGATTCCTCTCTTCCACCTATTAGAGAAATTGCTCCTGACTGGAGGAAAGTGATGGTCAGTGAGAGAATTCTTCCTCTTCCTGTGGGAAGTTAGAGACAAACACAGTTTACTGGATAGAACAGTAAAAAAACCTGCATAACAAAACAAACAAAAAACCCCACACACTCAAGGAGACACAGACTGACTTGCTTTGGGTAGGCATGTTGCATTCCAACAAACAGGAGCTGTCACCCAGGTGACAGCAGTTTGGGGAATCTGAAGAACCAACCTCAGGGATACAGGTAATCTTCAGCTCAGAAAAATGAGGTACTTTGATACTTAAAGCAGCCAGAAAGCAACTTAATTTGCTGTTAAGAGACTTAGAAGTTGACACACTGCTTTACGTTTGACCTTAAGTGTCTGATACTCAAGGCAAGTCTGATACTCTTAACACAAGCTTTTAAGCAAATCTCTTACTTTTAGGTTAGAATCACTCTCGCATTAGACTGCAATACAGAGGCTATAATCCCTTCGCACAGAACGAACCGAGGCTGCACCCAGCACATCTCTCTAACCAATGGCAGTCATCTCTCCAGTACAGGCAGAGCCTCAGCCTCTGGGTGCCGTTAACTCCTACTCTCAGGTAGGACTGAACCCAGACCTCAAAGCATTCAAACTTTCTGAACAACAGAGGGTAAAGAATGCTTCAAATACACTTGCTTGGATTTCATGGACATGTACCAAATTAAAAGGAAAAAGCTTACTAAAAATATGCATCTTTATTCGAATAAGGTTATCTCTGAACTCCAAGTATCAATTTACATTAGTCAGAAACAAACATAAGAAAATGTCAGCTGTTTGAATTTAAAAAAAAACAGTAGACAGTCTTCGGTGTTACAGTAATTGATGCATTGATAAACATAAAATTTTCTTCAAACAGGAAGTTATGTAATTTACAAACCACATTGTGAATTTTACTTTTGAAAGATTCAGGTGTGACCATGTATTTAATACACCCTGACCAGCACAATGAGGTTCTCTTGTCACTGCCAAATATTTCCTATTCATCCACACTTCAAATACAATGATTAGACTTGTTCTCCCTCGTATTGTCAAGCTGGGTTCCAAGATGTCTTCTCCTAGTCCCGAAATCTTACTTGATTAAGAGTCAAACATACTATCAGCATTGAAAGAAACTTCCAGTAGCCAGCCATAACAAGAGGCTATGTTGATTGACGAGTATTCTTAAAAGTCCAAACTTGTTGCTATCACTTCAAAAACAGACAGGACAAAATCTGAGCTGGGCAATCGGGAGCTTTCCTTTGATCCAGTGAGTGACAAGGCAATGATGGAAGTTCCAAGGAGAGACGACTGTGAAATGAAGCATGAAGCAAAGTTATCACTTTTTGGATCTTACACTTTAGTCCTGCTCCCTAGCACAAATATTTCCCAGTTGCACACCGGAGATATGTCAGATCTATTAGCATAAACACACAAGCTGAGCCTCACACTGAAGATACAATTATAGGTTCATGTTTTCTCCTAGACACCATCCCCAGCCTTCTCTTTTTTTCCTTTTCTAACAAAAGACAGAAAAGTATGGTCTGCTCCAGCTTTAAAACAAAGTTGTGGTTGGATAAATTTAAAGTCACAAAAAATACAGGCTTCCTCCAATTGAGACATTAGAGCTGTTGCTCATTGTACCAGCTACATGCACCTACTTATCAAAACACAGTTGCTAGCCTTCCTGTATAAAGGGTCTTGCAAAGCCTGCTGTGAGAGAAGGAGTTCTGTTTAGGTGTTGCACTGATGCAGGAAGGCTTGCAATTGAAAGCAAAAACACTTTACATTTTCACAACAATTTAAGAAAAATATATTAAGTTTAGTTCGAAGAGTCAGGGTTGTAATAGCTTAGACACAAGGCACCAAGTATTTGCTGGTGTTGAAAGAAATGAATGGATAAATTCCTATGTGTTATTCTGACTTATCTGAAAAGGTTTTTTCAGCGATTTCCTTCATCTATCCAGCAAGATTAGCTTGAGGCAATAGTCTCTCCAATTAGTACTGCAAAATCTTCTCAAATTTAGAAATTAATCTATTAAGCTATACCACTTACAGCATACTACATACTGCAGCTATGTAAATAGGTGTGTAGGCAGTATTGCTTTATTGGTATAGCACAGACAGCCACTTTCTGGACACTGTACTGTATTTTAAGTAACAAAATACATTGCATAGATTTATCTTTTCTCCAAACTGACAGGCACAATACTGAAGTGTTCTTCACTACAGCAAATTTGGCAACGTGTTGCACTCCAAGGGAGCAGACTGTAGGAATGCAGTAGCAGTATGCCAGGTTCCAGATAATTTTTGCAGATTCAGACAGATTAATAATTAGAAGTGAAACATCCTGATGCACGTGTTATTTTATAGAATTTAAAAAAACCCAAACAAACCTACTCTAACATACAAACTCAAGGACAAAGTTACCACAGATATATAAACAAGGCAAAATTAATTCATTCACATTCCTAATTTGGGCTATCTGCTTTGTTGCTTTCCTGAAGCAAATGTTCACCTGATAAGCAGTATCAAAACCACATGTTCAGTCTTATGCTTTTGATATTAAAGCAGGAATTGACACACAATACTGGTTCTACAATAGCTGCTAGACTAACAAACATATCTGAAGCAACAGCTTGTGAAGAAATGGGTTAACACTTAACATCTGTAATTCAGAATACTTGCCATGTCAAGATCTAAATCAAAGCATCTGTATTGGATACATGAAAGACACAAGACAGCTTTATAAAAGTAAAGACATATTCATACACTAAACATATCCTCGATAAAATTAGATTTGAAGAGGTATAAAGCAATGGTATCTTTGCTGAAGAAGGTCCACAAATCTCCGAACAAAATCACAGATAGACTTGAAACTACAAAAGAAACAAATCAGTCCCACAATATACTTGAAGAAACTACTTTATCATGTTTTCTCTCACTGCCTAAAACCAAAACCCAAAATAAAGAGATAAGCCTTTATTTCCTTGTTCTGTATAGTCTGTTTTCTATATCAGGTATCAACAGTCAGCCTGTTGAAGGGCCGTCTTTGTGTCCACATACTAAAGTGTTCAAATCTATATTTCATGAAGAGTTAGAATTAACTAAATTCTTCAACTGTTAAATCCAAGTGGTAAAGAAATGAAATGTTTATAACAAATTTTTAACACACACACACACCCCCCTCCCCCCAATAAAAACAGAGAAGAACAGTTGTTTGGGGGTTGATTTTTTGGGTGGGTTTTTTCCATTTGGTTCGTTTTGTTTTTTTAAACTGCTATGTCAGGACACTTAGTGGCAAGCTTTCTGCACAAATCATCCATCTGCAATTCTCATTATGAACAACCACCAAACCTGGGTGTTTCCATTCCCTCCTCCGTAATCTTAACAAAAGAGGAGGAGTACAGCATTGATCTTCCAGAATTTATGAGAAAGTTAGGTGAAAACATAGCCCTAGATAGGGTCCGCACTCGTCCCCTATCTAGTGTTTGCTCTGCTGCTGCCCAGTCTGTTTTTAACTTCAGCATTAACACTTTAAATGAGAACTCATTTTGTTTAACAAAATTCAATAATTTACAATATTGAAGTATATCAAACACTAAAATTCCCTCATTTACAGAAGTGTATAATTTTCTGTGCATACATACTGCTGTTATGTACACACAAAAGGAACAGGTCATCAAAAGAACTTTTTGGCTGCTGCTTCTTGTTGACTCCTGAAAGAAAAAGCAGGAAAGAATTCATTAAGTACTTACAGTATAAAACTAGATAACTGGTTTAAATAAGTATTTCATTTATTTGGGGATTAAAAGATTTCATTCCTTGCCAACCGAGACTTGGGGAAATCAAATATAAGTCGTATCACAAAAATAGGATGTATATTTTTCCATTTACAAAGGCACTGGTAGCATCACTATAGTTCCAATTTTGCATGAGACACAGAAGGAAACAAAACATTCTGGACAGAAGCCAGAAACCGTGAAAGAACATACGAACTGATTTTTAAAATATTTTAACTAAAATTTTCTAAAGCTTCTCAGTATCCGATTGGCCTAAAGATCATCATAGAAAAGTAAGCACATGCAATTAAGCAGAGAAAGAATTTACTTGAAATGGGATTTCCTCTTCCCTCTGGCACAGAACATACTTATTTTCTTAGTGGATACAGATACTGTGGATCAACCACACACAGATGCTAGAATTACAAGGGCATCAAAAGGAACTGGAGGGGACCAGCTCCACACTCGTCTCGGAAGCCATTTTTCCAGCTGATAGCATAACACCACAAATGTAAGAAACGCACTCTCTCCACTTTGTAGAGAAGCAGACACACAGTAAGTTAGTGCTATCAGCACCACTGGTCTTATAGCACTACTAGCTATCCTTCCACAGAGGTAGCAAACAGCATTTTCTCTTTGAAGGGCAATGCAGCTATTTTGGTCCCTGCTCCTTATCCTGCCTGGTCTGTGTGAGAGCAGGAGGGAAGACTACCAAGCATGTCAGTCCTTACTCTCAACAGGTTTTCCTTTCCATCAACACAAATTTAATTAGAACTTTATGACATTACAAGGAGGAGGACGAGAACAGAGAAAACATCTCAATTAGTTTAGAGAAAAAAAAGAAAGTCCATACACTATCAGTATCATATGCAGGAGGCAGATGAAGGGATATGTATCATAAAAAAAACGTTCACTGAGGAATTTGTAAGATGGGATAAGTAGCTTGTAGGTACACAGAGAAAAAAAAAAGTCACATTACATTTTGTTAAGATTATTAATAAACTTCAGTAAGTCCAGCAGAGGACCACAAGGATTGTGGTCAAGAGCTGAAGCACATGCCTCAAGAGAAGAGAGGGAGGGAACTAGGCTTGTTCATCCCAGACAAAAGGCGGCTTCAAGGGGTCTAACAGTGGCTTTCTAATACCCACAAGACATTAGAGAGGCAGGGACAGCTTCTTCACAGATATGGATAAGAAAGAGACACAACAGTCAAACTGAAACAGGGCAGATTCCCACTAAATATACCATGGCATGGAGGTGGGTGGAGAATAAACAAACTTCGTTATAATAATTAAACATTTCCAATGAGGTCCATAACAGTGGTGCATTTTCCAATCTTGGGGGTTTTTAAGACCTGACCAGTCTAAACACTAAGCGACCTGGTCTGAATTCAGTGTCGTCCCTGCTTTGAGCAGAAGGTTAAACTAGAGCCCTCCAAAGGTCTCTTCCAATCTGAATGATTGCTTGTTTTAAAGAAGATTAACATAATCATACCATTGCAATTGCATTTCCAGTCAGAAGTTCTAAAATCATTTGCCCTGTTGTCTTTAAACAAAAACATACTTACTTACCTATACATGATATAACCAATGAATAACACTGTTTGCACTGCTACAAATATGAAGAAGTGCACTGTAGACAAGCACGATGGAAACGGTGGCAAGTCTGGACACTTTGATTTCTCACTAGATGGCTGAAAAACAAAGAAAAACAGTATTTGAGAAAAAAAAGCAAAACACGCCATCAAAAGACTGTCATATGTAAGAAACAAAACAAGGTCTTTGCAACATGATCTAAAAAAAAAAAAATCGGAACACAAGCAGAAAACATAGAAATGACACTACTTTGAAAAAATCACATTCACTCCCCGTCTCACTTTCACCTTTCACCTTTATGTTTCTCAGACAAACTGACTGATGTTAACTTGACGGTTATAAAAGAAATAATAAATCTTTGGTAAATTAACAGAGAAATCAAGAACCTTCTATGGGGTAATAAGCTAATTCAGCTTAATTGCTACCTAGGCTACACTAAGGTGCTCTTGAATGTGAATGCAATCGTCTTTCACACTTAAGAGACCTTAAGCGGAGCCTGCCCAAGTTTCCCCTGATTAAAGCTCTCCCTTCTGTGCAGAAGCAATAGAGAATCTCCTCTGTACAAAGCTGTTAAGTAGGGGGACAAACACAAAAAAAGCACCCAGAAAATCTAATTGCTTGACCTTGTTTCCACAGGAAATTAGACTAAAAATCATGCTCTTTGTGCAAAACTTCTCATCAAGACACAGATCATGCAGTTAGGTCAAGGCAGTGCAGTTTTAGCGAAGCAGCTTAATGAAGGATTAATTGCTCTGTAAATTGCATTCTGGCTCATCCTAGCTTTTCACTAACAGCCAAATAAAGAAGTATTACAGTCATGCTTTACACTACCAGCACATAAATTACCATATTTCGTTGTACTAAATGCTCAATGTCCCTCTTTACTACATGAAGGTGTTCTTTGATGTCATTGAAGTGCTGAGTTGTTTCATAGACTCCTGCAGCAGAGCCAGGATGTTGAGCTCCACTGATCAACCTCAGAGTATCAGCCATGGAATTTCTGAAACAAGACAAACAACAAAACATTTTTCAGCACAGAACAGCTTTTCTACAAACAGCAGTTATTAAGGACATCTTTTAGTCCATTAAAATTAGTTTGTAATACACACTTGCCCCAAAAGGCAAAAAACATTTTTTCTACCTTCCAAGAATACCTATCAAGAAATAATTTCTTAAGCAAACTATGATTTTTTAAAAAATATTTAATTCCACTGACAGTTTCGATTTGTACAGTGCACCATCTCGATAAGTCACGCTGAAAACAAGATCGGGCGAATATTCTATTGCCAGACAGCTGCTTTGCCTGACTGATGAAGTCTAAAACAAGTGTTTTATCTGAGGCTCTTGCCAAGGCTTTAGGATAAGCAGAGTTTAATGCAATCTTTCAAGAAAACCAAAAGCTGTTTGAAAAAATAAATAAATAAATAAAAGCAGTCATGTAAGAAATAAAAATAAAGAAGAGGCTTTAGGGATAAGAAAAGATTTAGATACATCCTTGTTTCATGATTATCATTTATACGAGAAATTCATTTCCCATATGTATTGTCATAATACTTAATATTGTTTTCATGTGAATTCATTTTGCTTCTACAACAAATCAAATTAAATCCATAAAAAGTTGAGGTTCCTAACTAATTTCGTCTGAGGTAAACTAGTCAATGAGAGAAAAAAACTTAATCTCTAATCAATATGTTTATATAATTTTCCACTACTGTGATGTTTCTTTTCAGTTGCAAAGAGGATTATTCTACAGCTAAAATATTTATCATGTGAATGTTAATCTCCTCACTATTAACAGAATAAACAATCAAAATGTATGTCTTTGGATTTCTTTTTAAATTACTTAAAACTTCACATTTTGTTCAGATGAGAGCTTACTTCGATGCCTTCAAGGTGCAGCCCTAACTCTTTGTAAAATAGCCAGAAATTTATCATCGAATCACAGAACCATTTGGGCTGGAAAGGACCCTTAAAGATCATGTGGTACAATCCCCTGCCATGGGCAGGGACACCTTCCAGTAGATGAGGCTGCCCAAAGCTCCATTCAACCTGATCTTGAACTCTTTCAATTTTAACTTTCACATAAGAAAAAACAACTTGGCTTGAATACTACTAATTGAGTACACAGGCACCAACAACATATAATCATATTTGTCAGTGTTACACAAAATTATATTATAGAATTTTAAATGGCTCACATTCACGGTGAAAAAGGCAAATTAAGCATTGAAACATATATACACAAATAATCTTCATAAAGACGTTGCCCAGCTTTTAGCTTTGCATCAGTTGCTCTTCATGCCGTTAAAAATTCAAAAAACAGAACTAAAAATAAAATTAAAAAACCCCAGAAAACTAGTAAAGTCCATATCTATTCAAAGGCGCCGTGATAACTCTCCAGAAATAAAAATTGCAAGCATAGATAAGCTATAGTAGTGCTACAGCACTTTTGCTCTGTCATAAGAACCATGCAGCATGTTTAAACTACCTGAAGCAGCTACATACTAAGTCAACGCCACACACTAAATTAATCTACACAATTACATAAGCTGCAGGTACACCACTTTAACAAAGAGGCATTTAGTAATTATCACCCCTACTAAATGCTGGATTAACAATATACTTTTCTTCAAACTGAAAACTACCGTTTTTTCTTCAAACTATCACAAACACACAAATCAACTTAACATACTAGACTATCAGTATTCTGCATACTTCCCACATTACCAAAAAAATTCTTTTCATTTGCAGTAACAAAAAGATCTAAGAATTCACCCTTTCCTGATAGCTTTGTAAAAACTCAATCCCACTTCCAGCAGGTTAGAAGATCAGTAATTTTCCAGTTACTGCACTCTAGGCCAGATGGGGTTAGCCATGGATTTCTGCAAAACTCTCAACATTTACTTCAATAAGCTTGTGTTTAATACTGCAAAGTTACCAAAAGGGGTTACCAAAAACCAGCTGTTTGCTTCTGGAAGCCACTGCAAAAAAAAAAACCCTATTCAGAGCAGGTCTCACCTTCTCTCATTCTATGTTTCTGGTTTGGAACATACACAGACAAAATGAATGCAAAAACCCCCTCATCTGTCCTAACTTAAATGAGCATATACATAATCCAGAAACTATTTTATATTTTTGCATTGTCATTATATAGATTAAAGTAACTTGATTAGTAGTTACCTGTACTTTGAATTAGTGTTTTAGAAGTAAGTTTTCTATCAGATTTTCTTAAATAACCCATGCAGCCATCACCATAACCACTGCCCAATACATGCCGATAGTAATTCTGTCTATCCACATCCATCACACTATTTACCTTGCCCCACTATTTTCAGTGCTAGAAGACAATTGTGCCACTCATTTTGTTCTTCTCCCTCCTACCAGCTTCCCTATGTAATCAGCAGAAAATTGTGCACCCACCTTCCCCAAGACTGATCCATTTCTTAAAAGCAAACCAACTTCCCCAAATATACACGGTTTGTATCAAATTTAATTTCCATTTACTTTTTCATGAACAATACCATGCTGATAGTTTCTATTGTATGAACATGCAAGATTCTTCTGTAATCAGATGATTAAGAAATCCACAAATCTTGACAAGAAAATTACTTAGACAGTAAGTCCTTCTCCTCCGGGATGACCAGCAACACAACAGCGGGCTGTTCATTTTTATCTATAAATAAAACATTTCTTTAATCTAAGAAAAATATTAAGATGATGTTACGCAAACTCATACCTAATAAGTAGTCACTAAAAGGGCAGACTGCCAATGTTAACAAGAAAATCTAATTTACTTGCAAGGTATAAAGATTTGTCAAGATTATTAACATAAAAGCTTTCGTGGAAGAACAAGTGCAAAAATGGAAGCACTCTAATCTTTATTCTACAAAAATCTGACCTACTTAGATAAATCACAAGAGCTGCCCTTGAACTAATACAGGAAAAAACCGACAACAGTAGGAATTGTTTTTCTCCTTTTTTTAAGCCCAAGGTAAGGAATGCTTTAACTACTATAAATGAAGGGTTAAA